CGGCGCCGGGCACCCACGGGGGCACCGTCGAGGGACCCCCCCGGTGGCACCGGGCGAGGGACACCCCGAGGCACTGTGAGAGGGGTACCCCGATGGCACCGGGCAAGGGACGTCCCGGGGCGATGCTCTAGGGGCACCCCGGAGGCACTGTGCCAGGGGCACCCCTGTACGAGGGACACCCCGAGGCACTGTGAGAGGGACACCGCAGGGCACTGCACTAGGGACATCCCAGTGACACTGCACAAGAGTACCCCAGGGCACTGGACTAGGAACACCCCGGTGGCACTGCGCTAGGGGTACCCCGCTGGCACCAGGTGAGGGACACTCCTGTGCAAGGGACACCCTGGGGCACTGTGAGAGCGACACCCCGGAGCACTGCACTAGGGGTACCCCGGTGTCACTGGGTGAGGCACACCCCAGTGGCACCGGGCAAAGGACATCCCGGGCTAATGTACTAGGGGTACCCCAGGGCCACTGTGCTATGGACACCCCAGGGCACTGCGTTAGGGATACCCTGGTGGCACTGAGTGAGGGACACGCCAGTGGCGCTGCACTGAGGGTACCCCGGGGGCACTGTACTAGTGACACCCCAGGGGTATTGCACTAGGGACAACCCAGTGGCACTGTGCTAGGGACATCCCAGAACATCACAGTAGGGGCATTTTTGGTGGCACTTCCCCAGGAACACCCCAGTGGCACTTGGGACACTCATGGGTTCGCAGTGTGCTGTTATGTGCCCCAGGGACACCACCAGACACCCATCCCCAGGGCCTGAGACCTGCCTCTGCTCCAGCCAGAGCTGTCCCTGAGCTAGAGGACATTGCACAGCTGGCTGGCACCTCAGGGGGTGGCATGGCACTTGGGGACATCCATGGGCTGACACTGCAGTCCTGGGGACACTCACAGGCTGTGACCCCAGGCTGTGATTGCACTCAGGGATGCCCACGGGCTGTGACTGCAGCTGGGGACACCCATAAGCTGGGGTTGCAAGCAGGGACGTCACAGGCTGGTACTACAGAGACACCCACAGGCTGTGATTGCACTCAGGGACACCCACGGGCTGTGACTGCAGCTGGGGACACCCACAGGCTGTGATTGCACTTGGAGACACCGTGGGCTGGCACTGCCTACACGGTGAAAATCCCCCGGGAGAGAAGCAAGCTGAGCCTCTGACCTCCCCATGCAGCTCCTGCGTCATGGCGGGGCAGGAGGGCCCCAGCTCCATGTGGTGTTCCCGGTGTCCACCTCCCCCCTGCCTTGCACCCTGGTGCCACCATCCCTGGCACCCACGGGGGCACCTAGCATGTGCACAGCCCATAGGGTGCCATTTCAGGGCGACACAGGGCGTGCAGGCAGCCCGCTGCCCCTCTCCATCTTTCTGCTCTAAATAAACTGTATTCCACAGGCAAAAAAATGCAAACCCTTCAGATCCTCCAAAAATAACCCGCGCTTTAATAATGCTCGTAAATGCTTCTGGCGCATTCCCAGCTGCAGGGTGGGCTCCAGGCTGGAAGGAGCCAGCAGAGGGGCTGCAGGAGCTGTGTGGATGGGACAGGGACAGGAGGGGTGTGTGGGCTCCCCCAGCCCATCGCCCTGGGGCCGCATCCAGCCCTTGCCAGCCACAACTTTTCGGCACCGGTGCTCCAAGCAGAGAGGAGCAAAAAGTTTTTGAGAGCTGCAGAAAGTGGCTTTCTAGGAACCCTCAGCCCCGGGTTGTGGGGGGGATAGGAGGGATGGGAGCAGCCGAGGACTGAGGGGCTGCTGGTGCCGTGGGGAAAGCAGCAGAAGAGCTGCTGCTGGACTCTGGAGAGCAGCTATTAATACTGACAAATTAGGCACGTATTTGGACAAGGAGAGTCAGTAACTGCCAGCATGTGGCTTCTGAGGGGAGGGGGAAGATCCATCTCCCATCGTTCCCGGGCAAGGATGGATGGTTTTCTGTGAGATGCTTCCGCCCGGAGCAACTTCATGGGCTCGGTGCACGGGAGGAAAGACGATGATGTGCATGGTGTGAGCAGCCAGGCAGTTGCCCTGGAGCCAGGCAGGGCTTCAGCCCTCAGATGTCCCCCCAAAGGATGCAGTTTTTCCTTGCTGCCCACTCCCCTTTGCTCCAGGCATCATGGCCACGTCCGACCAGCACAGCTGGGGCCATCCAGGTGCCCAGGCCCACGAATCTGCTGTCAAGGCCGTCCTCTGGGGTGACCTCTGGGACAAGGGGGCGCAGAGGGATGTGGGTGTGTATCCCTCCCGTTGCTGCCCCATGCCCAGCCCTGCCCCGGGCTAAGGTCTCCAAGGATGGGGATGCCCCTCCGTGCCCGGCTCCAGGGTCCGACTGCCCTCCCGGGGAAAGGCTTGTCCTGCTGTTCAATGGGAACTTCCCAAATGCAACCTGTGCCGCAGCCGGTCCCCCGTCCCTGGGCTCCCCGAGAAGTCAGGCTGCGGCTTCTCTGCTTGTCTCCAGCTCGGCTGGATTTGGGTCCCCACGGAGGTGCTGGCACCTCATGACTGCAGTGTCTGTGGTCCACGCCCCCAAGTGTGTTGGCCCAAACCTCCCTGCCAAAATAAGCCCTCACTCCGGTAGGCAAGATTCAGGGGGCTCCCAGCCCCATGTCCCTCTCCTGGATGTCTGTGCCACCTCCCCTCACCTGTACCCCAGTCCAGAGGACATGGGGGGGGGGTGTGTGTGCTTGCAACCGTGTGCTGGGGATGCTGGGATGAGGCCAGAGCTGCTGCCACACCGTGCCCGCTCACTGTCCTTGCTGGCTGCTCAGAGGGGCCCTGCGCCCGACCGATACCTGGGTGAGAGCCTGGGGCCGGGTCAGGCCAGCACAGATTGTCAGGAGACAGCTGGGAGGACTGGGATGCCTGCGAGAGCCACAAATCCACCCTGGAGCCCAGCCACAGGCAAGCGTCCCAGGGGGGACAGCCCCTCCGCACCCCCGGGGGTGTGCCCACAAGGGGACAGGGGGTTGCCGTCTGGGATGCTGCGGGATGCTGCCCTTGCCGCTCGTGATGCTTGTAGCTCACACGGCCGGGGACGGGTCCCGGAGGCAGGGGACACGTGCCAGCCCGCCCGCGTCCCCGCTCC